TGGGCACCAGGCTTGACGACGAGTCTGTGAGATTTGCCATTGGCTTCAGACTTGGCCTGGTCATTCAGAATAAATACACGTGCCGATGTGGCGCTGGGGCGGACGAGTTTGGGCACCACGGTTTGGTATGTCGCCTGGGTGGGGGCCGTCAACTACGTAACTCAGCGCTAAACGATTACATTTGTCGGCTCTTCTCCAAGGCTTCAATCCCGGTTTTCAAGGAACCATCCGGCATTTCTGCGCATGATGGTAGGCGCCCGGACGGATGCACGCTAATACCTTGGAGAGCCGGCAGATGTTTGGCGTGGGATGTTACGGTCCCTGGCACCCTCGCCGAACGATACGTAAACCTGACAAGTAAAGAATGTGGTTTGGCCGCGGCCAGGGCAGTAGACGAGAAAATGAAAAAAATATGGGAACGCCCTCCCCTCGATGGAATTCTTGCCAATATGCATCGAGGTTCTCGGCCCGATGGACCCCAACACCCTTAAATTTCTTAAGGAAATATGCAAAATGATCAGCGTCAGACCAGGCGACAGCAGGGAACTGTTTTTCGCAACTAACCAAATTTCGTGCTTGTTGCAGCGGTTCCTGCGTGTCTGTGTGCTTGAAAATATCCAACTGAATGCCGACATGTGCAATTAACGACAAATCAAAGTGTTTATCCATTTGTTACTTGATGTTTGACGGTTCAGTGTCACTCATCATGTTTTGGTTTTAACATGCATACATACATACATACATACATACATACATACATACATACATACATACATACATACATACATACATACATACATACATACATACATACATACATACATACATACATACATACATACATACATACATACACGATACGTAAACCTGACAAGTAAAGAATGCGGTTTGGCCGCGGCCAGGGCAGCGGACGAGAAAATGAAAAAATATGGGAATGCCCTCCCCTCGATGGAATTCTTGCCAATATGCATCGAGGTTCTCGGCCCGATGGACCCCAACACCCTTAAATTTCTTAAAGAAATAGGCAAAAGGATCAGTGTCAGATCAGGTGACAGCAGGGAACTGTTTTTTGCAACCAACCACATTTCGTGCTTGTTGCAGCGGTTCCTGCGTGTCTGTGTGCTTGAAAATATCCAACTGAATGCCGACATGTGCAATTAACGACAAATCAAAGTGTTAATCCATTTGTTACTTGATGTTTGACGGTTCAGTGTCACTCATCATGTTTTGGTTTTAACATACATACATACATACATACATACATACATACATACATAC